AGAAATTAATTGTCATCTCTCAATAAGGTATGCTATGCAAGATAATTATTTCTTGACAGTTTTAGTTATAGTACTTGTTATATTATGAAATAAAAGATGGTTTTAGCAGCCTTTTATTGGAAAGACAATTGTATCAAATTAGTACCAAATTAGATTTTTGTCTTTATAAAGGTGAGCAAACCCATGAGCAGTTTTTAAATTGATGTGTTCTAGACCACAAATGAACAAATTCGGTTTGAGGGTTAAAGAAGCTATTATTTTGTCCTTTATGCTGACAGCTTCATTACAGATTGGCCTACTGTTGGCATTAAAAAAATGTTTGGCTCCTTATGATCTTTGTGCATGCAACTATAATATTAATGCAGCGCCACATCACTGTTCATTAAGAAATGACTTTAAGTGAGGTTGAAGCATGTAAATTTGGAAAGATACAGATGTTAAATGCAGTCGTTTCTCTTTGTACACAGCCTTATGGCTAATAATTTCCAAGTGGCTTAAGCTCTTGTTAGCAGGAGTGCTGGTGTGTTAAGAATGGCTCTATAAATAACTTTAAGAACTGAAGTTGAAGGTGCTTCTTTTAAAGACTATTGTTAACTAAACATTATTGCCAAACAGATGGAAAGCATTCACCGGCCTGATGTTTTTAGGTCTAATTATATTATCACCAGCCCTGTACGGCTCAGTTGAAGAGGTGTATCCAGAGGCCAATTTATAATCATTTAGCCAACACCTGTTTGGGGGAAATTGACAGTCAAAGGGCACATTTTAAAAAAATCACATATGTTCTTGTGTTTATTGCCTCAATGTGAACGTTGTCTAGCTGCAAACAAACTTGGTAGGAGAAGAAAGTAAATCTAAACAAAGCAGCACTTCCCAGCCATGTTTATCGATCTTAATTTGGCCTTTTTATCTGATCCACTTCATGCTTCATGGCTAAGTGAGACCGGCAAAGAGGTGTCACTTCTGATTTATGCATGTATATTCTGTTCAGTCTGTTAAGAGGCTGCTGGTAGGAAAAAGTTCTTTCCTTTGTACTGCTTCCATACATTTTTAGTGAAACGTTTTCTGTTTCATATGGATGTATCTCATATTGTATTTAAATTGGATTGGCATTCTGGTGAATGGCTTAAAAGAGTCAACAACTTGATCTAAAAGCAAAGGAGCCCTAAATGTCTTCACAGACACAATGCTCATCGAGTCCTTTTTGCAGAGAGAGGCCCCTGGTTCTTCCCTTTGCTCCCATGATATGTTAATGTAACTGTAAAGGTTCAAATTTTTTAAATATGTTTTCATGCCATGGAGGTTCAAGATTGATGGTGACTGTAGCTCAAAGGGAAGTTATTGGAGAGGAAGGGTCTCTTCTCCCCTATCTGAAACTAGTTCGAACCTGACGATGCTGCCAGCTCTTATTTTTAGTGTTTTTCCTTCTTCTGACATAGTTCTCTGTTAAAAGATTTATATATGTTACCTCCATTTTCTTATCCCCCATCATTAGCTCAGAGGAGTCTGGCTTTTGTCCCCACCAGTTCACTGCATAATGCCTGTTGAAAGTTACCAGTAGCTTCCTAAGTGCCTTAGGCAGTAACCCTTTCTCATCCCTCCCTCTCATGGCTTCTCTCTGTTGTTTGGCTAGATGATTGCTCTC